CCATAAATATTGTTTTACATATAGGACTTTTTCTTCTTTTATGATCTCTGTAAGGTATAGGCCTAATAGTGGTATCTCTGGGTTAAAGGGTATGGGCAGCTTAGTAACTTTTGGGACATAGCTCCTAATTACCTTCTAGAATGGCTGGATTACCTTCACTGGAATACCAGTGAACAATTTCACCAAATATGAATTAATGTGCTAGTTTTCCTGTAGTCTAACATTTGTCATTTTCTTTTTTTTTTTTTTTTACCTTTGCCAGTCTGATGGCTGGGGGTGAAACCTCAGAATTGCCCCAATTTGTGTTTCTCTAATTATTAGTGATGTGGAGGCTTTTTTATATGACTATAAGTAGCTTGAATTTCTTTCCTGGAGAACTGCCTTGTTCATATCATTTGACCATTTGCCAATTATGGAATTGTATCTTATCCTTACACATTTCAATCACTTTTTAAGATTCCTTTTTAAAAATAAAGTGTAACGCTGACCACTCTGGCCCCCACTCCCTGGAGGCCAGGCATGTTAAAGTTTCACCGCTTCCCCAAGGTTCTCTACTACCCTTAAGGTGGTTAAGAGGGTGTCTATGTTCTTCACCAATGACTCCAGCCTCCAATGATGGTGTTCCCCCAATTGTAGGGGTTGATCCCCTGCACCCCAGTTCCATTTAGCCACTAATGAGCATATTAGATTTTACAAGGAAATACCTACTCAAAGATATAATCACAAATATATAAACTTACTCCTCTAATAGGGATAATCTTCCTTCCTTTTTGTACCATCCTAGACTCTGGGGAGGGGATGGGGATTAGGTTCAGAATTTAGCTCAATTCCAAAAGAGCAGCTGTATCAAACTCCAAATAGAAATAAATCCCCATGGGGCAAATGATGACTTAGAAAACCACAAATTAACATTACCTATATTTTATTGTATCTTCATTTATTTTGTTAAACCGTTCTCAATTATATACAGAGCTTAAATTTACACTGATTTTCCAATATGGGTCTGTTTGCCCCCCCTTTAGATAACCTGGAAGGGCCCCTGCTCCTGGGGGTTCACCAGATTGGTGCCAAATTTAGTGCAAATACTCAAAGGCTTTCGCCTTCCTGCAGCTCAGACTTTCCATGCTCAATAGATCTACCAGTCTCAGCCTCAGTCTTCCCTGGGCTTCCTGGCATGTGCCACCACTCCTGGCTAAAACCCATGCCTTTGGAATCCTGTGATCTCAGAGTTCAGAGGCATTCCAGAAGCCATCTAAGTCCACTCACTCCTGAGCAAGAATCCTTTTTTCAAGATACCTGACAAATGGTCATGCAGCCTTTGCTTAAAGACCTCTAGTGAGGGGACACCTGCTCCCTCTCATATCACCCAATTTGGCTTTCAGATTCTTCCAAGGCATATCTACTAGAGCACACAGTCCCAGCTAGGCACACCAGAGGGGTGGGTAATCTACAGCCTCGAGGCCATACGTGGCCCTCTAGGTCCTCAAGTGTGGCCCTGCCCCAGACAATCCCACTCAGGCAACCCCAGTTTTCTGGCCTTCTGTGACTGGCTGCCTAGCTGTACCACCCTGCTTGGAATCCTGTCTCCAAGGTTGACATGACTCAAACTTGGGTGAAGGGAGATTATTGCAGGTGAGAAGGACAAATGCAACAAAACAGAAACTAACAACCCCTCCCCTCCCCGGGGCTCATTTCTTGGAGCTGGAGTGAGATAGAGGGGAAGAGAGAGAGACAGACAGACAGAGAGAGAGAGACAGAGATAGAGAGATAGAGACAGAGAGACAGACAGAGAAAGAGACAGAGACAGAGAGAGAGACAGAGACAGAGAGACAGAGACAGAGAGACACAGAGAGACACAGAGAGAGAGAGAGAAGGGGTAAGAAGCCTTCTCCTGTCATTGGATCAGTCCATGGCGCCTGTGCTGTGGGTGAACTGGGATCTCCACCTTCCCCGCAGGATAGATCACACAGAAAAGAGGGTGATACAGAGACAATCCAGCCAGATTTAAAGATGTGACCCTTTCCAGTTAGGCAGCCAATCAAAGGAGGCTAACCCCACCCACTTGCTAAGAGGGGCTCCACTCATGAGATCTAAGCATGCCCAGAATAAGCCCAGGTAGAGATGCTGCCACTTCAGGTGAACTGAGCATGCTCAAAAGGCCCTATTACAAAAAGAAACTGAGGGTAAGAGAGGTTCATTTAAGTTCAATTCAAGAAACATTCCCTTAGGGGCAGCTAGGTGAGCCAGTGGATAGAGCCCGGGCCTGAAGTCAGGAACAGCTGAGTTCAAATTCAGCTTTAGATTCTTACTGGCTTTGTGACACTGGACAAATCCCTTAGCCTCAGTTTCCCCATCTGTAAAATGGAGATAATAGTAGCACCTACCTCGCAGGGTTGTTGTGAGGGTCAGTGCTTAGCACATTGTCTGGCACATAGTAGGAACTATAGAAATACTTATTCTTTCCCCCTTAGAGCCTACTATGCGCAGGGCAATGAATGGCATAGTGGATAGACATTTAGCCTTAGAGTCAGGATGGCCTGGATCTGTGTTCTGCCTCTGACACATACTGGCTGTTTGACCTGGGACAAGTCACTTAACTTTCAGGCAACTCTCTTAGAATTTAAATTGCAGCACCACCCAAGCGCCCATCTGCATGGGTAGGGAGAGTTTCCTCATCTTGAGTTCCTTTCAGTCATGGCTCCGGTCCAAACAGCAAAGTGTAAGACACTATGCTGGGTATTTGTTGTTGTTGTTGAGTTGTTTTTCAGTCGTGTCTGATTCTCTGTGACTCCATTCTTGGGGTTTTCTTGGCAAAGATACTGGAGCGATTTGCCATTTCCTTCTCCAGCTCATTTTATAGATGAGGAAACTGCGGCAAACAGGGTTAAGTGACTCATCCAGGGTCACACGGCTAGTAAGTGCCTGAGGCCAGAATTGAACTCAGGAAGATTCATCTTCCTGACCCCAGGCCTGCTGCTCTATCCACTTTGCTACCTAGCTGCCCATGCTAGGCCCACAAAGAGGCAAATAAGTGCAGGCTCTGCTCTCAAGGACCTTACATTCTATTAGGAGGAAAGGAGAAGAATACAGATATAAGTAAAAACAAAAGATACCCAAGTGGGATTTAGGGCAGCTAGGTGGCACAGTGGATAGAGCTCTGGGTCTGTAGTCAGGAAAACCTAAGTTCAAATCCAGCCTTAGACACTTCCTAGCTGCATGACCCTGGATAAGTCATTTAATCCTGTTTGCCCCAGTTTCCTTATCTGTAAAAATGAACTGGAGAAGGAAATGGCAAACCACTCTAGTGTCTTTACCAAGAAAACCCCACATGGGGTCATGAAAAGTCAGACATTACGAAACAACAAAATACTTAGGGGAGGGAAGAAGAGTGACTCCTCCAGGGTCATAAAACTTGAGAAGTATCAGGTACAATTGAAACCCGACAGCAGGTCCAGCAGGGCCCACTTCACCACAATGTTTTTATTCCCTATAGGCCTCCGTCTTTCCTGCATGGAGCAATGACCACACCGCATCTTGCCTTGATATTGGAAAAAAAATTCTTACAAACAAGAACTGAAAATAAGAAAGGATCTGAAAGCCAAATTGGGTGATGTGAGAGGGAGCAGGTCTCCCCTCACTAGAGGTCTTTAAGCAAAGGCTGCTTGACCATTCATCACGCATGTCACAGAGAGGATTCTTGCTCAGGGGTGAGTGGGCTTAGATGGCCTCTGGAATGCCTCTGAACTTTGAGATCACAAGATTCCAAAGCCATGGGTTTTAGCCAGAAGTGGTGGCACATGCCAGGAAGCCCAGGGCAGACTGAGGCTGAGGCTGGTAGATCTATTGAGCATGGAAGGTCTGAGCTGCAGGAAGGCAAAAGCCTTTGGGTATTTGCACTAAATTTGGCACCACTCTGATGAACCCTTCCAAGCTGTCTAAAGAGAGGGCAAACAGGACCACATTGGGAAAAACAGTGTCGATTAAAGCGCTGGTACTAATTAGCATTGGGATTGGACCAGTGAATGGCCACTGTACTACGAACCTGAGAAAGATAAGCAAACTCAGTCTCAAACTGAAAAACAAAACAAAACAAAGTCATAGTTTCAGGGCCATGTTGATTGATTGATTGGTGATGATGATGATGATGATTGATGATGATGATGACGATGAAAACAACTTAAATTTAAGCTCATGGAGCACAGGGATTGTTTCATTTTTGTCTTTGTATCTTCAGCACCTAGTATGGCCCTTGGCACACAGTAGGTGCTTAATAAATGCTTGTTGATTGGTCAATGTAGTGGTTGAAGGTTTACAAAACATATTGCATACATTATTTCATTTGATCCCCATGAAGATTCTTTTTTTTTCTTTTTTTGGTGAGGCAATCAGGGTTAAGTGACTTACCCAGGGTCACACAGCTGGTAAGTGTGAAGTGTCTGAGGCCAGATTTGAACTCAGTATCCTCCTGACTCCAAGGCTGGAGCTCTATCCACTGCACCACCTAACTGCCCCTCTATGAAGATTCTTTAAGTGGGTCCTACAGGTAATATTATCCCCATTTTACAGGGGAGAAAACTGAGGAAAAATAGTGACTTGTTTAGGATTACACAGCCAGTAAATACCAGAGATAGAGTTTGAACCCAGTTCTATTTGTCCATTGCTCTAGCCACTGGATATGAACTGAACTGATGATTTCGTTTCCCAGGTAAGGAAACTCCCTCAACCAACACAGGTCATTCACTTTTCAACAGTTAATAGTGTTGGAGTTGCTCAGAGCATTGAAAGGTTAAGGAGCTTGCCCGAGATCATGAAGCTGATATGTGTGAGAAGTATCTTTTTTTAACCAGCTCTTTCTAGTAGCCCACATTGCCTCTAATTGCTATACCATGCAAAATGATGAGCTGATTGAGAAATTGTTAGAATTCTTCCTTGCATGCCCTATAGCACCCATCCTGAGCCCTCGAGTTCAGAAGCTTCACTCTCCACAATATATTTTGCAGGCAAAAACAGCCAACTGTGACCAGCTGGTGACAAGAAATACTGTGGGGAGACATCTCCTTCAGAGAGGAGGAGGTGGCAGCAGAGGAAGAGGCCAGGCCATCCACCCGGTCAGCATGGTCCCTGGGTCTGTTGGGAAGAGCAAGGTATGAACGGCAGCAAACCCGTGTGTGTCCCAAGGTCTATATTAAACAGTTGAATTCAACAAGTCTTTGTGATCCGTGTGCCAGTCACTATATTAGGTGCTAGGTATATGAAGACAAAAAAATTGTCCTTTCCCTCAACAGACTTACAGTCTATCTGTGGGAATGATGGTTGTTGTTTGTCCTTCTTTCTCAAAGAGGACCATGGCGTCAGGAAGGTGATGCCATGACTCACAGGAGAATTGGATTTAGTGAGGGAGGGCTGGGGGTGATGGTGGTAGTTAGAGAATGTCACAGAATCACAGAATGATGGAATTTCAGAGTTGCAAGGGACCCAAGTATCAGACATCTTTTATCGTTGTTGTTGTTTTCCAGTTGTGTCCATTTGGGGTTTTCTTGTCAGAGATAATGGAGTGGTTTGTCATTTCCTTCTCTAGCTCATTTGACAGATCAGGAAACGGAGGCAAACACGCTTAAACAGACTTGCCCAAAGTCACACAGCTAGAAAGTGTCTAAGACCAGATTCGAACTCATGAAGATGAATCTTCCTTACTTCAGGCCTGGCACTCTATCTGCTTCACCACCTAGCTGACATCTTAGTCTCACTTATAAACTGACAAAAGAATCCTTACTATGATATAGTAATAAGGGGTCATCTACCCTTTCCTTGAACAGCCTCTGATGAATGGAAACCTACTATCTCCCAGAGAGGCTCATTTCACTTTTGAATAGCTCCAACTGTTCATTCATAGTGAATCCATAATTACATGCCATGGTTCTTTCAGTAACTTATGATGCAGTTCATTTGAAACAGATGGCAGTGGAACAAAGGATAGAGCACTGGGCTGGGAATCAGGAAGATACATCTTCATGAGTTCAAATCCATCCTCAGACACTTACTAGTTGTATGACCCAGGGCAAATCACTTGACTCTGTTTGCTCATCTGTAAAATGAGCTGGAGAAGGAAAGGGCAAACCACTTCAGTATCTTTGCTAAGGAAACCCCAAATGGGGTGAACAAGAGTTGGACACAACTGAACAACAATAAAAGACTTAAATTCACCAAGGGCAGCCAGGAACTCTCTCACTATCTCTCTATTTATCTTGTGTGTCACCTACTTTTGGGCCATTTTTGTTTAGTTCTTTCCAGTCCAAAAATCATCCTTCTTGGCAGAGCAAAGACAGAAGCAACTCCTTGTACTTCTGAGATCAAGTTGATCCCAGATACCACAACAAAGGCCACAACAGAGCCTTATTTCCAAAAGTTACTTATTTTATCAAAACTTAAAATTCATTTTTTGTTTTTTGGTCTCTGGCTTTTCTCAGATGTTTGTTGTTGTTCAGTCCTTTCAGACTCTTTGTAACCCCATTTTTGGGGATTTTCTTGGCAAAAATACAAAATAAAACAAAATAAAAATATAAAAAAATTCCTTCTCCAGCTTATTTTACAGATGAGAAATTGAGTCAAACAGGGTCAAGTGACTTGCTCAAGGTCACACAGCTAGTGTCTGAGGCCACATTTGAACTTAGGAAGATAGTCTTCCTGATTCTAAGCCCAGCACTGTGTGCACCATGGCGCCACCTAGCTGCCCTCTCAGATGTTTAGCATAAGGTAGGTAACTTTGAACAGAATGCTTAACTTCTCTGAGGATCATTTTTCCTATCAGTCAAATGAGCATTTCATACAATTTAAAGCTGGTGGAGACTTTAGAGGGTATAGAGTCCAGGCAAGTCATTTGGCAAAAACTGAGGTCAATGAAAGAAGAAATAACTTATCCAAGGTTATGTGGGAAGTAAATGGCAGTCAGGATTTGAACCTGGGTCTTTCGAGCTGCCTTTCTCTAAGCCCTGTTCTAGGTAAATAGATAATTAAACACTTAACTATGTGCCAGACACTATGCTAAGTACTTTACAATGATTATTTCTTCAAACCTTACAACAATACAAGGTGCTGTTGTCATTTCCATTTTACAGATGAGGAAACTTAAGCGAACAGAGGTTAAATGATTTGTCCAGGGTCACACTAATAAATGTCCAAGGTCAGATTTAAACACAGGTCCTCCTGACTCCAGGGCTGGTGCTCTATTCACTGTACCACATAGCTGCCCCTAGTCTCCCTCATTCTTATAAAACCATTACTAGATCCTACCCTTACTACTAGTTATCAGGCTAATATCTCTTCTCCCTTTCTCAAACTTGAAAAAGCCATCTATACTCAGTGTCTTGACTCCCTCTTCTTTCACTTAGTGAATTCTTGTTGAATTCATGTTGCTGAAGAAAGGGTGTGTGTGTGTGTGTGTGTGTGTGTGTGTGTGTGTGTGTGTGTATGTAGGGTGCGGTCAGGGGGTAGGGTCTTTAGGCAACAAAATCTCTCAAATCATTTAGGTTTGTCCTGTACCATCCCAAATCAGGGCCGTGGGAGAGCTCCTTGTGTTCATGGATAGGGGGTAGTATGTCCTTACTGCTCAATTCAATTTAACAAACATCTATTAGAGCTATATAATAGATCTGATTAAATCTACTATGTGCAAAGACAATACATTACACTAGCAAACGTCCTTAGATTTGGTGTACTTTCCTCTGACTAGGGGAGGAGGGTCTATTCTTTGATTTCTGCGGTCCTACTTTGAGATAGACATATAAAAAATATTCATTTCCTGGCTGATCCACTCTCTTGATCATTGATTGTCTGGGTCTCTGAGCAAGGAGAAAGGTCAATAGCGGCTACCTTCAGCCATCCTGGGGTTGAGTGATATGGGCTCTCCATTGTCTAGGTCAGAAGTGGAGAACCAATGTCCTTGAGGCCACGTATGGCAGATTCTCCACCTCTGCTCTAGGGTCTTCGACCAAATGTAGTTTATGTAAGCTATAAAAACTCACATAAAGAGACCAATAAGAGTTTAACTGTCAGGCAATCACTGGGTTTGCTGGGGTCTGGGAAGAGACAAGAAGAGAGTGGAGACTTCCCTCCATTTACTTAGTATCCAACTGCTTAGTGGCAGCTCATTTCTTCAATATTCATGGGCCATTTTAAGCTGATCCAATTCTCTTGACTGTTCATTCATGACAAAAATGAACTGTTTCAAGGATGGAAAATTGCATTTGCTTCAGAGCAGGAGTAAATGGGTCGTTAGAGGTCAGTGTCAAGGTCTATTGGAATCAGTACCTAAATGTATTGGCCTCTGGGAGAATTATTTTCAAACTTGGGCTCTGCTATCAAGAACAACCTTCCCTCTGTTGATTTAATTGATGTCTTTGAGGAGCTAAAGTTCTATTCTTCTGGAATCAATCAATGATCAACAAATATTTAGTAAGTGCTTACTATGTGCCAGGTTAGCCGCTAGGTGGAGCCATAGTACATAGAGCACTGAGCTTGAAATCAGGAAGATTCATTCTCATCAGTTCAAATCTGGCTTCAGACACTTACTAGCTGGGTGATCCGGGGCAAGTCATTTAACCCTCTTTGCCTCAGTTTCTCAACTATAAAATAAGCAAGAGAAGGAAATGGCAAACCACTGCAGTATCTTTGTGAAGAAAACCCCAACTAGGGTCACGAAGAGACTGAAATGATTGAACAACGATAAATGTGCCAGATACTATGCTGAGCTCTGATGATCAAAAGAAAAAGCAAAAATATTTTCTCCCCTCAGGGAGCTTCCATTTTAAAGAAGGAGACAACATTTACATAGATAATTATACAGAGTAGATGGAAGGGAGCCTTAGAGGGGACAACTTGGGAAAAGGAGGAGTTTAAGAAAGTAAGGTCTCCTGTAGAAGGTGGGGTGTGAAGGAACCCAGGGATTCTAAGAGGCTGAGTTGAGGATGGAAAGCATTCTAGATATGGTGGACAGCCCACAAATAGGAGACGGTCCCATTTGTGTAAGGAATAGCAAGTAGGCAAATATGGCTGAATTGTAAAGTACATGGAAGGAAGTAATGTGTAAGAAAAATGGAGAGGAAGAAGGAGACAGGTTATGAAGAGCTCAAAATGACAAACCGAGGAATAGATAGTTAACCCTCCCTGTAATGGGCAGTTATTGGAATTTTAAGTAGGAGGGGTGACATGGTTAGGTTTAGTTTCAGCCATTGGTGGCTGAGTGGAGGAAGGATTGGAGTGGAGAAAAGCCATATGGTAAGGAAACCAAAAGGGAAACTTTTGTAATAGTCTAGGTCAGGAGTTGGCACACCGTGGTCTGCAGGCTAGATTGGCCCACTGAATGTTTTTGTACCTGAGTTCTCTGGTCAGACAAAACCAGACCATGGACTGTAGTTTGTCAACCCCTGGCTTTTGTTGTTCAAGTCATTTCAGTTGTGTCCAACTCTTCCTAACCCCATTTGGTGTTTTCTTGGCAAAGACAATGGAGTGGTTTGCCATTTTCTTCTCTAGCTCATTTTCCAGATGAGGAAACTGAGACAAAACAGGGTTAAATGACTTGCCCAGGGTGACACAGCTAGGAACTGAGGTTGGATTTGAAGTCAGGTCTTCCTGACTCCAGGCCTGGTGTTCTATCTATTCACCATTTAGCGGCCCCAACCTCCAACTCCTGGTAGGGAAGGGATTCTCAAAATATTGTCTAAAGACCCCAGGAATCTCTAAGACCCTCTCAGGGGATCAATGAGGTAAAAACTATTTTTATAACAATACTAAGATATTTTAGTTCTTAATACAGTAAATATGATTCACCTAAACAAAAGCTGTTCAGGGATCTTTAATAATTTTAAGGGTGTAAAGAGGTTCTGAGACTAAAAAGTTTGAGAACCACTAGTCTGGGCAAGAGAAGATGACCTGAATGAGTATGGCACCTGTGTGAGGGAAGAGAACATACCTGAGAGATGCAGAGACAGAAATGACAAAATTTGGTCAGTGATTGGTTATGTGGTATGAGGGAGAGGCATCAAGGATGACACTGCTATTGTGTACCTGGAATAGGATAACCATCACCACCACCAATAACAACACACAATAATAATGCTGCGACTGATAACTACCATAGCACTTTATG